TCAAAAATTGTTCAAAAAACAACTAAACTTTTTGAGTGGATAAGATTTCGGGCATGGGCATGGATTTCCAGCTAATTAACCTCATCAATGTCGAAGAAGATGCTATTCAAATTCATGTAAATTAAGTCGCCAGCTTTCATGTTTATGTCATTGTCGACCATTCATCAAAATTGGCAATTGCTTCCAACAGCAATAATTTATAACAAAACCGATAAAAGGATGATGCCAGGTGTGGCGGGTCCTCACCATAGACATAAATTGAAATGCCTACCTAATCTTTTGCTCACTCTTCTACTTGGTAACTAGTTAAAGTTCGGATATTATAATGTTGTTAGGTTCCCAAACATCATTGTCTCGTCAATGACTGAATGTCACATTTCAATTCTTCATGAATAACTAACACCTGGCGGAAGTAGATATTTGAAGTTAGTAGGATACAATCAAACTTATTAAAAAGTTACTAAAAAAATTATGTATTTTACAAAAACATATACAAATGATCACTATCACAGATTCACAAATTTCTTATGTATGATAAATAACAATTTTCAAAAAATTCCAAATAATCCAACATATATGATGAATAACAATTTCCAAAGATTTCTCAAATTAAATATCACGAATAACAAAATAATCTCAACTTTTACTCTCTTAATTATTCGGTCATCACTATAACTCTATTCTAATAAAAAAAAGCCCAACTACAGTTATTACCCAATTCTGATTTTTGGCTCTAAAATAAAAAAATAAAAAAAACAAATCTTGAAGTTGGTGGGTCAATTGACACACTAGGATCATGAGTAGTCCGCCAATGTAAACAAGGATAGCATATTCTATTGGGAAATAAAATGGATCGAGGTACTATATATGACACGATATGAAGTATATGATTGCAAACAAATAACAAAATAAAAAGCAAAGAATTAATTGATAGAAGAATAGACTATTTTATTCAATTGATTAATATGGAGGAACAAATACAATAACTGCGCATATACAATTACTTTATATTTCATTAATATAAAACTTGTGAAAAGGGTCTAGTTCTTATACTACAAAGATGAAAATAAGATAAAAAATTCACGTGCAATAAACGAAAAACATATTTTCTAAAAAATCCAACCTAATTTTGATTAAAATATCCAACAATTTTCACTTTGACACAAATTTCGATGCAACAAACGAAATTCCAAAATTTCTCCATCTGGAAAAATAAATTCAAATGCAATGAAAAATTTAAATTTTTCAACAAGAACCAAACTTTTTTTTCAACACAAAAATACTTTTCCTCTTTCACGGTATCCAACAAGCATTGTATCCAACAATGATACATGAACCCAAACATCGGATTCTCCAAAATTCATAAAGAATTAGAAATTAACAAATAGTGTTGAAGCACACCTTGTAGTAGAATCAACTCCCAATGCTTTCATAGAAGGTCTATGTCTGGTCTCAACATATTCAGAAACGCTAAAAACATGTGCAACCGAATCAGCATTTGCGCACCCATTTCCAATGGGTCTATTCCTAATAGTTGATTATTATGATGACAAATTGGAATTATCCATATTCTCTAAACTCGACTGAGTAGTATTCTTCAATATGGACTCCGAATTAAATCCCAAAGGTATAGTAGCAAACTGAATCTTCACCATGGTACTAAATTCGTGTTGACATTTTTTACAAATTCCATCTAATGTTGCAAGGTGTATAACTGAAACCCCTTTCCCCTTCAATACAACACGAACACCATTCTAAACCCTTAAGACTCTATCATCTCCAGAGAATGTGTGCCATTTTGAATCAAGAGTACTCAACAAAATAAGATTCTTTTTCAAGTCTAGAATATGTCGAACGTGATCAAGTATTCTATATGTTCCATCCACCAACTTTATTTTGACTCTACTAATACCAGCTACCTAGCAAGGTTTATTGTTAACCATGATAACAACACCTTGTGTCATCTTTTTGTATATTTCAAACAAATCCAATTGGGACACATATGAAGCGCACGAGTTGTATCTAAAATTCACTCTTCGTCAAGTTTGGATTCCATGTCAGAAAATTGTCAAAACATCTCTATCACTCAAATAGTTCTCGACTATGTTGGTATCATCTGAAGTATTTAATTGCTTCCCATGATTTGCAGTTAAATTATCTTTGTTCTGTAACTTGTCTCAATTACTTTTATTGTGTGATTTCTTCTTGCAATAATAACAAACCTGATTATTGAAATTTGACCTTGATTTACCCCCTTCTTCAATCATCATGAACAACAAGGCATTCTCTATCTCTAGCCTCAGATCCGATCAGATGCTTCATTTTCTCTTTTGAAAACAAGGCTTCATATGCATCTTCAATAGTGAGAGTATCACGACTATACATGATTGTGTCTTCAAATGAAATAAATGAAGCTGGCAGTGAACACAAAATGATCAATGTCCAATCTTCTTCATCGTACTTTATCTCTAAAGTCTTCAAGTTGGCAACGATCTCCTTGAACATAGCTAGATGATTTTTTAAAGACGTGCCTTTTGTCATGCTATGAGAATACAACTTTTGTTTCAGATGCAATTTGCTTGTTAGACTTTTTAGTCATGCACAATTGTTCCAATTTCAACAACAATGCAGCCGATGTTTTCTCTTTATAAAGTCCTGAAGAATGATGTTACATAGATGAAGATGGATTTGAAAAAGTGCCTTTCGATCCTTCCATTGTTTCTCTTTTGTTGTCTAAGTTGCGGCAACACATTATCCAAATTCATCTGCGCGAGTACAGTTTGCATCTTCACTTGCCACAAAGAGAATCTTGTATTGCGATCAAAGAGCGCAATTTCATATTTATGGCAACCATCAATAATGAAAATCTTGGTTTAATGCTTTCACTAAATTGACCATTAATTGAATGAGTAGACACTAGTCAATTCCACACTCGAGAGAGAGGAATTTAGGCGCGATCATAAGATTAACAAAATGTAGATTTTATGGGTTTCGAGAGAAAGTGTAGAATCTATGAAACTTCATAAAAGAACCATGAACTTGATAAATTTCTGGTTTAATTCGAAAAGAGATATTGGTATTGAAATTTAGGACTAATTTCTAGCCTGCATTCAAGAGAGGGAATATAGATACAATTGAGTTCTTGCTTATAAACTTTGGAAAATTGATTATAAATAATTATATAATTGAGAATCATATTTGATAGTTAGGTGAAATCACAATCCTAGGCTTTCTCATCTTGATTATTCTTCTAACTTACAATTAATTGTTGAGTTTGTTACCACATTCATCATATTAACTTATTTAAAACCATTGATTCCGAATTTCATTCATCTAGATAAAATAAGAGCTACATAATTACAAGACTTAGTATAAAATTAAATTACAATCTCCGTGGGTTCGACATTCTAACTTTATTATTATATTACAAAATTTGACACCTTATATTTGCAGTATAAATCACGTTATCTAAAACAGGCGGCACAAAGAGTGTAAGCTAAAATCAGCATCACGTTGTAAGTTCATTATGCCTCACCCACATCCCAATATACTTTATAATCTGACTTGAACGTCGAAGTTCACATATAGTTGCACCCTTGTTGGAGCTATGATCTTTGTAATCTAACGTGACTATCCATATGTGCAAACAACAAACACATGAATGAACAAGGAGTTGAGATCTGAAAGCATTGAATCTCACTATATTCAGAGGTCGACAATTTGTCTTGTATGCGCTGTAGTGACATGCTTGAATAGACAATAAAATCTAAAACTTTTTTTTCTTTAATACTTTCTTACTTTGTTGAATCGAATAGGCCATCAAAATTAAACAAGTGAAGGGCAATTTCAATAATATATTCTAAGATTTTTCAAGTAACTTGTGTATTCAATCAAATCATAAATTTCCTAGTTTGGAAGTCATTGGATTTTACTAGAGTTTTAGCCATTTATATATCAAGAAGACTCATTTATTTGTTTCGCAAAATAATTGTGATTGTTTTGTAGGTTACTTGAAGAAAATGGGGAAATAAAGTTCTTCACTACCCTTCCTTGTGAAGTGTTTTACTTGAGAAGTACCAACTTCAAAGCTTCTACCCCAAGAATTGTGGAGGAGTAAAGCATGGAAACATCCGCATTAAGGTAATTGGGTTTATTAATGCTCTAATACTATGCCTATTTCGATCTTGAGGTTTACAGGTAAACCCAAAAAAAATAAAAATAAATAAATAAATAAATAAATATTATAAACAAATAACTTCCGTTTGATGTCCTCTAAACACAACATCTACAGTGATGAGGAGAGGATATTTCTTGTTTTCTTTTGCATTTTTTTGTAATCACAGCAAGTTATGTAGATTTAATAATATTTTAAAATGAATCATTTCAGAAATCTATTTACTAATTGAATGTTGAATGACTCATTTATCAATTATTCAAATAAAAATTGTATGTAATTTATTTATATTTACACGAGTAAGTTATAAATTTCTCTTTTAATTTTTGTTAAGTTGTATTTTTTTCTCCAAAAATGGGAAATAATTATTATCTAGTCAGTCCAAATTTAGAGCTTGTTTGGTGCCCTTTTTTGCAAATAAATAAATAAATAAATTCATTTTGAAAAGTTTTGAATTTGTATGTAATATTATTTTATTGAAGAATATGTGGTTAAAAAAAGAGAGAAAAATATATTTTGAAAAAATAGAAATCAAATAAAGCCTAATAAGTAGTAATTATTTTCGTCGCCCCTCATATGAAAACAACCACAATATACGTACAGAAATCGGTTTGACAGAACACGTACAGATTACACACAGCACATGGAGTGGATGATTTTATTTTTTTCAATATGTGAGTTTTCTATTTTTATTCTGTACAAGCAAATTATGTGCAAACATAATTTTTGATATGGAAAAGAGGAAAGGAAAAAGCAAGATAGTCTACTGCCCACGTGTACACACACATAAAGACGACCGTTAATTTAACGGACGAAAGGGAAAATAGCATTAAAAAAAAAAAAAAAAACTTTGAAATACTACGCCACTTCTCCAAAAATCGAGACGGAAACAATAAGGAGTTGGGGATCCAAGAACCGCATGCGGCCATCGCTCTCTCGAAAGTGGTGATTGGCGGTGGCGATGCTGGGTGTTGTTATCGGCGGTTCTCGTGTTTATAAATTCACCAATAACACCAACCTCTAGTGTTCTTGAATCTTCTTCTCTTTATGAATAAATAAGAACATATACAACAAATTGCGAAGTTTATTTGTGGGATGCACGGGTGGGATTTCGCTCTGATACATAAATTTGTTTTTCTTCTCTTTTATTTACCCGAGATATAGGAGCCCTTTTGAATTAGAGACATATACATACATATATACATGTGTAGATTTACAGATCAATACATGTGTATGGGTGTGTGTATGTGTCTTGTGTAGGGGGGACATTTAAACGTGAAGAGGGATTATAATAGGGAAAAAGCTTTGGATCTCGCCAAGCACTGGACAATAGGTATAGCGATTTCTCTTCATTTCAAGGCTGACATTGTTACTTGCAGGAAAAAAAGAAACCAGATTTTGGGCTTCTTTTCTACATTTTTTTTTAATTATGGGGAATGTTTGCCATCCATTTAGATCCAAACTATGCCCCTGCTCTTTTTTCATAGTATCTTTACGAATAAAATTAGGACGTCAAAGCTTTGATTTTTGCCAAGAATTGATGAATGCATTACCTGTTAAGAGTTCCTTTGTTGCTATCTAAATTTTCCGCTGTTGAAAGCAAGAACACCCATTTTTAGATTGACTCTAATGATAATTTATTTTTATAAATTACAATCACTGCTTCTTGTATTTGGTAGCATAAGATAATATATAAATTCATGTCTTGGCACTTTCCTGATTCTTACAGAACGTTACCTCAAGTTCTATTGAATTTTCTCAATTAAGGAGAGTTTGAGCAAAGATAATGCCGTTCAAATCCATTATTCGAGAGCTCAAAGGAAAGAATGGCTTAGAGAACAAGAAAAAGAAACTATCTGAGTCAAAATGTGAGCAAGGTCATACGAGGAAACTATATGAGTCAAATTGTGAGGAAGGTCATACAAAATCATACATTGTTATTGAGGGATCATTGTCATCTCAATCTGCATTGATACAAGAAAGCCTGTGGGCAGATTTGCCTTCCGAGTTGCTTCTTGATATTTTCGGTAGAGTGGAGGAAAGCGAGACCACATGGCCAGCCCGGAGGGCTGTGGTTGCATGTGCTGGGGTTTGCAGGTCATGGAGAGAAGTTGCTAAGGAAGTGGTAAAGACTCCTGAAGAATGTGGGTTACTGACTTTTCCCATGTCACTAAAGCAGGTAATTTTGGTTTGTGATACCTTTGATTACGAGATTACTTGGACAGATTGATTTTTTTTCTTATGAATCTTGAAAATATGTTTTAGCCGGCTCCAAGAGATTCCCCAATTCAATGCTTTATCAAAAGGGAAAGGGCGACATCAATGTACCAACTGTATCTTGGCTTGAGCCCTGGTAAATGAATTTGTGCTCTCTTTGTTTTCATTGACTTTACATGTTTGGAATGATAATTGAATTCAATTGGTAGGACAGGCTCTATTTACATACCACAAAAATTAATATTCAGACCTTTGACTAGCTTCATGAACAAAGCGTTGATCTGCTTATTTTGTTGTTAATTCTTTTCCACTGAAACTATCCTGTTATTTGACTTCTCTGGATCTATCTATCTATAGATTTTGAGATTCATTAATTAGCAAAGAAGCTGTGTCATGCCCAATGGTTTGTTTTCTAAATTATGTGTAATTTACAAACTGTTAAATTTCATGGTGGTACAAATGTTTATGGCGTATACGCAAAAGTGTAATCTTCTCTTCGCTACCTAATGAAGGATATTCTCAATTCACATCTTCAACTATTTGTTCTGTCATATTGATTGTTTGAGCTCAACTACAGCACTTGCAGGGGACCCAAGCAAATTGTTGCTGGCAGCAAAAAGGATCAGGAGGGCAACAAAAACAGATTTTTTGATATCCTTGTCTGCAAATGATTTTTCTCAGACCAGTAACAATTATGTTGGAAAACTAAGGTATGTTGTTCAAATATTGTTCATATTTTTTCCCATTAGATTTGTCTTTCTTTTTTATCAAGCCAGAAATTTGTATCAGGTCAAACTTTTTTGGCTCCAAGTTTGTCATTCATGATTGTCAACCTCCATCCAACTCTGCTATCCAGTCCCATGGTTGGTCACGTAAAAAAATCTCTATGAAGAAGGTGTCCCCGAGGCTACCTGTTTGCAATTATAACGTGGCCACCATATCATATGAACTCAATATTCTGCGTACCAGGGGGCCAAGAAGAATGCAATGCAACATGCACACAATCCCTGTCTCTGCAATTCAAGAAGGTGGAAGCACCCCTACACCTGCTACATTTAGTAATGGACTTGAAGAAATGTTCTCTCCCTTGACAGAGTCTACAGAGAAAAAACAAAAATCTACTTTTGCTAGTCCTGTGAAGTTACCGGCATCCATCTGCACCACTAGAGATCCACTTGTTTTAAGAAACAAAATTCCAAGATGGCATGAGCAGCTCCAGTGTTGGTGCCTGAACTTCAGAGGACGTGTAACAGTGGCCTCTGTCAAGAACTTTCAGCTGGTAGCTGCTGTAGATGCGTCAAAGAATGTTCCCATTGCAGAACAAGAGAAAGTGATCTTGCAATTTGGGAAGATAGGGAAAGACATATTTACCATGGACTATCTTTACCCCCTTTCTGCCTTTCAGGCCTTCACAATCTGTTTAAGCAGCTTTGACATGAAACCAGCATGTGAGTAGCCAATTTTTCTTACCATCATGGGCTGTAATTTTGCTTGGCTCCATGCAAATGATATCTTCATGTAAAATTTTTATTTTTATTTTTGAAAGGAAACATTTAAGGTTTATTACTTGTATAAAGATTAGGCTTCTGGTAATGTAACGGCTAGAGTCAAATGATCTAGTTTGAAGTTTGAATCAAATGTACGATGCAGAAGAGTTTCTTGACTTATGTTTGGGCAAGTGGGAAGATGGATTATTACCATAAAATAATTTGCCATAAATTGTGTTTGAATGATGTTGAATTGAACATGGAGTAATAGATATCAACTATTCACATATCAAGGCTTATTCAGGTGATTTCTATTGAAATACTGTGAGAAGCATGTAGTTGATTGTTTCATCATCCTTATTAATTATTATATTTTTCTTGACATGCTTAGAGGTTGTACTTAGTATCTCTTGGCATGCCACAATGGTAACTTGTATGTTTAGGGAACATCTACTGTGTTGTGATTGCTCCTTTCCTTGCACCAAACACGGCAACCATGACATTGATGCTTTTCAAGATTTTCGGCGTCAGAGTCGCTGGATTTCAAAAATGATCTTGAAGGCATCTTCTTCTGACAGTGGGTTCATAGGTAAGTTTCTGAGAAGGGATCATGTTAAATTCATCCTTTTGCATCTCTAGGGGCCTTTTTTTATCAGTTGACTTGATAGGTTCCTTTTTAGCACGAATAGTGATAATATGGACACCGGGATCCCTTTCAGTCATGGAACTGTTGAACACTATTGAGTTATTGATTCCCTGCGCATTGTTGTTTACATATGTCTCTATCGGCTTATCTTCTTTTCCTTTTGCATATTCCGATTTGTTACCAATCCAACTTCCCTCACCATTAGTGGTTGCTTCAGGATTTTCATCAGGATTGATCTTGTAGCCTCTGCGAATGTGAACCGCTCCTTTTCCTTTTGATGAATTTGATCCCAACCTCATTGATGCTCCTCTGTTTTCTCCTACAAGTGTAATGATATTTACTGGTCTGTCATTATGGGAATTTCTGGGGTCTCCAATGGCCATTCGATTGACAAATGTCGAAATGTCGTCCCCAATCTCTTTGTGCAAGGGCACTTGTTCTCGGCTTGACTGAGTAGATAATTTTTTATTTGGAATACTTGTGTTTTTACTCCCTTGTTGAGAACTTGTTTTGGTTGTTTTTCCATTGAAGAGAGAGGTTGGTAGTATCTCTTTTCTGCCACGGCCCCTTGCGTTTCTCCATGCATCTGCTCTGACTCATTTGTAACGCTGGCCTCCTCTACTCCTTTTGCTATTGATCCTGAATTTGCAATGAGAAAATCACTGCCTTTGTTGTTTCTCTTTTCATTAACTGCACCTTTTGTCTCTTGAATTACCTCGTACACTTCTTTAGTTTCTTCAAGTTTTGCATTTGATTCCACGAGTGGCTTTTTGTTACCATCGATGCTGGAAGAATCCAATTTTTGTGTTTCCTCAGCTTTGTCATGACCTTGGGGAACGGTTGATATTGTAACAGCTTCCATCTCTGATGATTTAGAAGGCTCTACTTCCATCTCATTGTGCTTGATGCTTCTTCCAGATGCAGTTTGATTATGGGAGTCATTAACAGTATCAGATTTAACTTTTGTCTTTGGCTAAATTTCTAGAGATGCTGATGGCTTCGGTGCTTCTCCATTAGAAACAGTATTTGGGGCTTCATGAGAATTGGAAAAAGGATGGAAGATCTCTTTAGTTGTGTGCTTTAATATCTTTGATGTGGAAGTAGGCTAAAGCCCTTGATAGATGGTAAAGATGTCTGCTTTGGGAAGCGTGAGGTTAGACGGGAGGGAGAACGACGTTGGGATGTGCTTTGGTTTGTCAAGGGGAGTTCAGAGAACCCATGCGGGATGGAGACGAGGACATGACTTGTGATTTAGGCGCTACACGAGATAGAGATGAAGGTTGAGGAGGTGATCGTGATTTTGTTGTTGCATTATAGGGTGATGCCGTGACACCAGGTTGAACGGTTGCACGAGATGGTGACGAGGTTTGGGACTCTATTGTAGGGCCAATTGATGTAGCAGTAGGCTGGTTAGCCATCTGAGCTTCACTTGAAGATGGCACCGTGGTGGCAGGGGTTGTGTTTGTGCTTGATCGGTTAGGTGTATGAGTTTGGGTTTCATCCATGAGTGAAGTGGTGAGGGTGTTAGTGGTAGAGGAGGGGCTGGTGGCCTGCCCAGCTATTTGAGTTTCAGCAGTCGGTGGAGTTGTGGAGACGGTGTTGGTGGTAGGGTTGGTTTTCTGCCATTTGCTTCAGTTTCGGCAGTAGTTAGGGTTGTGGAAATTGTGTTTTTTTTTTTTTGATCGGTAAATTGTGGAAATTATATTAGTGGTATGGTATATTGCTTTCTCAGCCGTCTGAGTTTCAGCAGTAGGGAGAGTTGTTGCAATGGGGTAATGGTAGTGGTCCAGCGAGCTGATTGAGATTCAACTGTAGATGGAGCCAACTGAGTTTCTGCCATAGATGGAGTCGTGGGAATTGGGTTGCTTGCATCTTCAGACGATTGAGTTTCTACCTTAGATAGAGGTATGCGGGTAGGGGTGGTTGTCTGGCTACCCGAACTTCTTTCAGCTGCAGGAGGAGCTGCGGAGGAAAGTGGGTGGTTGTGTTTGGATTGCAGTTGTTGGAGTTGCTAGTATACAACGGGAAGCTGGGTGCCAAAATCGAAAGGAAATTGCAGACCTCCGGTCCCCTATGAATGTTCAATGAGAAAAATGTAACAAACAAAGAGTTAAAGTTGTTTAGTTTGTTCTAAAAGATTGCTTGATATATATCAGAGAACTCCAAGAGATCTTGTAAAGTTTTTTACTTGATACCTTGGAAAATTCATTCCTTCAAGTCACTTCATAGAATGATTCCTTGTTGGTTCCACTTCTTTCTCCCTTGTTTCTTCAGAAAATCAAATTTCCTTGACAAACACAAAAGGATTCTTTAGATCAATTTTCCTCTGTAAGAGGTTTATCATCTTTTCATTCCTCAAATTTTAGAATTTCCATCAGATTTATTGCCATTTATTGAAACTTGATTCTTTTTTTTTACTCCATAACACAATTCTAGGGTGTTGCAGTAATTACAAACTATAATAATTTAAGAAGGAAAATAATTTTTCTCTTATTCACATGGAAAGGAGAAGAATGAAGAAATATATATATATATATATATATATACAATGTTAGAGATCTATATTAGGAAATTATATAAATTAGGGATTTATAACTACCCTATAATTAGGCCCATAACACTCCCCTTCAAGTTGGAGCATAGATATTAATCATGCCCAACTTGTTACAAATATAATCCACTCGGATCCCATTTAGAACCTTTGTGAAAATGTCTCCTAGTTGTTCTCCAATCTTCACATATACTGTAGATATTAAATTTTGCTGCACATTCTCACAAACGAAATGACAGTCGATCTCAATGTGCTTAGTTAGCTCAATATGAAGAGCAGCTTGATTGTTACACCACAACTTTGCTGGTATTGAAGCCTTAAGGCCAATTTTAGTTAAGAGCTGATATATCCATATTATCTCACACATAGATTGTGTCATAACTCTATATTCTGATTCAGCACTAGATCGAGACATAATATTTTGCTTCTTACTTTTCCATGAGACTAAATTTTCTCCAACAAAAACACAGTAGCCAGTAGTAGATCTTCGGTCAATCTTAGAACCTACCCAATCTGCATTTGAGAAGCATTCGATGTGGATATGTCCATAATTTCTGTACAGTATTTCATGTCCAGGAGCTCCCTTTAAATAACATAGGATCTATTCTAAAGCTATCCAATGGTGAACTGTTGGGGAAGACATGAATTGACTTACAATACTGACAGAATACACAATATCAGGACGAGTTACTGTAAGGTAGTTCAATTTTCCAACCAATCTTCTATACATCTCAGGATCTTCAAATAAATTACTATCTTTGGTAAGTTGCAAATTGGGGGAGCATTGGAGCACTGCTTGGCTTAGCTCCCAACTTTCTTGTTTCAATTAACAAGTCAAGTATATATTTTCTCTGAGATAACAAAATGTCTTTTTTGTTTCTTGTCACTTCAATTCCCAAGAAATACTTCAACACTCCTAAATCCTTTGTATGAAATTGGGCATGAAAAAATGACTTCAGAGATGAAATTCCCATATTATCATCGTCAGTAATAATAATATCATCAACATACACAACAAGAAGAATAATGTCGAATTCAGACTGTTTGTAGAAGACTGAGTGGTCAGACTTGCTTTTTTGTATTCCAAACTTTTCCATTCCCTGACTAAATTTTCCAAACCAAGCACATGGACTTTGTTTCAAACCATATAAGGATTTTCGACGATGACACACTTTTCCATACTCCCTCGAAGTAACGAACCCATGGGGTTGCTCCATATAAACTTCTTCATGGAGATTGCCATATAAGAAGGCATTTTTGATGTCCAACTGATGTAAAGACCAATCATGAGCGGCCGCCATAGAAATGAATAAGCGAACATACGTTAACTTAGCGACTGGAGAGAAAGTGTCAGAATAGTCCACACCATAAGTCTGAGCATAGCTTTAGCAACAAGATGGGCCTTAAGTCTAGCCACCGATCCATCAGGATTGACTTTAACTGCAAATACCCATTTACATCCAATGGCCTTTTTTCCTGCAGGTAAATCCACTAAATCCCAAGTACCATTAGCATCCAAAGCATTCATCTCCTCGATCATAACTTCATGCCAACCATGATTTGATAAGGCTTCATGAACAGTTTTCGGAAGAGTCACAGAATCAAGGGAAGCAACAAAAGAACAAGAAGACAAAGACAAGTGATCATAAGATATAAAAGATGAAATAGGATAAGTGTACTGATGTTTACCTTTGCGGAGGGCAATAGGGAGATTAAGATCACTAGACACTAGATCCGATGCCGAAGAAGAGACAGGTGCTGAACATACATCAAGAGTGTCTCATCGTCTGGAATACACTTGGCGAATGTGGCAGTCGTGTGGGATATTAGTATTTGATTGGTAAGTGACATGATAAACCAATAGATCATCCTCCTCTCCCTTACCGAAAGAAGTAGGAAAAAAAGGAATATGTTCCATAAAAGTAACATCAACTGATACAAGATATTTGTTAAGACTCAGACAGTAGCAACGATATCCTTTTTGTAGACGAGAGTAACCCAGAAAAATATATTTTAAGGATTTGGGATCTAATTTAGTTACATGGGGCCGAACATCCCGAGCATAACGTGTATTACCAAATATCCTAGGTTCAATAGGAAACAGGGGTTTAGTAGGGAAAAGGACACTGTAAGGAGTTGTACCATGAAGAACAGATGAGGGCATTCAATTAATTAAGAAACAAGTTGTGGATACTGCATTAGCCTAAAATTGTTTAGGGACATGCATTTGGAACAGGAGTGCCCTGGTTGTTTCAAGAAGATGTCTATTTTTTCTTTCAGCCACACCATTCTGAGAGGGATGTTAACACATGAGGATTGATGAAGAATGCCATTTTGAAGCATGTAAGTTTGAAAAGAATTGGAAAAATATTCTTTGGCATTATCACTTCTCAATGTTTGTACAAAAACATTAAATTGAGTTCTAATTTCAGCACAAAAGGCACTAAAATTAGAAAATAATTCAGTGTAATTCTTCATTAAATAAAGTCAAGTCACACAAGAAAAATCATCAACAAAGGTAACGGAATACCGAAATCCAGTTTTGGACACGACAGGACAAGGACCCTAAACATCTGAATGAACTAATTCAAATGGAAAACTAGCTCTTTTATTGACTCGAGGAACTGATGACAAACGATGATGTTTTGCAAATTGACACGATTCACAATCTAAAGACGACACACTTTGAAATTGAGGATATAATTTCTTCAACAACGATAAAGATGGATGTCCCAATTGACAATGTGCTTCAAAAGGAGTCAAGACGTCTGAACACACTATAGACTTGGGCATCTGGGTATCCAAAATATAGAGACCGCTTGATTCATGTCCTTTACCAATAATCTCCTTCGTCATAAGATCCTGAAAAAGACAATGATCAAGAAAAAATGAGACACAACAATTGAAAGTTCGAGTAAGCTTGCTCACAGATATTAAATTAAAAGAAAATTGTGGTAAATTTAAGACAGACGATAAAGAAATTAATGGAGTTGGATTAATAGTGCTAGAACCGTGAAAAGAAGAAGTAGAACCATCAGCTAAAGTAACATTGGAAGGAGATGTATGCGACAGAAAAGTGGAGAAGAAACTAGGATTACCTGTGATATTATTTGTGGCACCAGAATCAATGACCCGTTTTGAAGAAGATGAGAGAAGACATGTATTAGGTTTACCTGTCTTAGCAATGTTAGAGATAGGATGAGATGAATTCCTCAATGCTTCTTAGTACTGAGTGAATTTAGCAAATTCATCTGCAAAAACTGTAATGGTCTCCCCAGAGGCCAAGATAGGTATAGTAGTAGTAGCTGCAACATGGGCCAAGTGAGACTTGTGAGATTTAT